AACAAGTGTGGCAAAAATCATTAAATGGGGCAAATCCTACTTAACAACAGTCTTGCTTAGCAACACAACTTTTGGACTCAATTTTGTTTGTAAATCAACTGAGGTGAACACTGGTAAGCAATTTAAGTAGCACACTAGTAATCTTAAATATAGTAACCATTTCCTTTCAGGACTTCCACCCAGCCTTTCAAACAGATGCCATTTGACATAACTTTGCAATAACTTTTACTCTGAGCAGCACCTGGCAGCCACAGCTTCCACACCGCTGCTTTATGATCCCCTCTAGAATAGCATTTTTTGCAGATAATTTGTTTGATGATCATCAAGGCAAGGCAGGCACCATTACTCACTGGGAATAAGAAAATATTAAAAAGTTACTGCAGAAGGGGAATGTGGGTGTAATTGCAAGTGTTTATATTGTATATTCAAATATAATGATTCTGAATTCAGGATCCGAATATTCAGGGCCAGGAAAAACTGCTCTTTAATTTTAATTAACATTAAATTGTTCCCCATGCTGCTTTAAGGAATCCACTCATTAATAGTGCTATTAAAGCCTTTTTTTTCAGGCTCATAGAGTACCTTGAACTGCTTTGCTAAGTAGCAGAGATGTTGCACATGGATGAGTCCAAAACTTTTTCTGAATCAGGTCTCTGCACTTGGGATAGAGGTAAGAAAAGCAAACAGTAGCTTAGAAGACAGGCTTACGTTCTACTGTCGAAAATTATCCTCATCAGTTACGTCCTGTACAAAGGAATATGTGGGGAGAAAGGGCTAGAGGCATCATCTTTCATGTGTGATTCATTTGGATTTTCTTAATAGCTTTGCCATCTTTCCCCCAAATAAAGTCCATTAAGGAGGAAAGAAAAAGTAGCAGCACTATATGTTAAGATAATCTTGATTGGGAAAAAAGTTTGAAAAAGTTTTTTGTCACAGCCCACTAAGCAGCTACCACTACAACACTTAACAAGCTGCCCTTGAATAGGACAGAATAAGAGGGAAAAGATTATTTTAACATCACTACATCTAAGAGTGACTTATTGGTCTCACTTATGAGCTGGGGACAAAATGAAGACATGGGGAATGGCAGGAAATGTTTTATGCTATGGTGAGATACAAGTAGGAAGCAACTGTACAGTTCAAGACCTTCTAAGGTCATCCAAGCAGGAAAGACAGCCCTAAAGCTTCTGCAAAAGACAGATGTCTCCACTTGTTCATATCCCAGTTATCATGGTTATCACCTTTTCTAATTGAATCTGTTATCAGACTGCTCTTTTTGATAAGCTCCTCCAAACATTCAGCTGAAACATTCTCTCTTGGACATTAAGGCCATTGGATCCCCTGCCTTATGATGGTGGAGAGAACAAAAACGTCCGTCTTCTTTTTGATAGCTCTTCAGTATCTATGTGATTTTGTAGAGAATAAGACTAATCTGAAATTTACTTGAATATATTACTGGAATTACAGTAATGGGGGGATACATAAAATGATATTTGTGTCTACCTACTCGTGAAGTATATGTGCACATATAAAATGACTTCTAGGACTAAAGAGGATCAAACTTGCCAACTACTCTCAAGCAATTTATTCTGCATTGTGACAACCCTGATTATTATAGCATATTCCTAGCTCTTCTCATTTCTTCTTGTTTGTTTCAGGGATTAACGTGCATATACTATTTTTCTAGTGAGTCCAACAGGTCTTTAAAAATTATCCTATCAGCACTGGGGAACTGGGGACCAGAGTTATTGCTCACAATCAAATCTAGAGATTTTGAGCAGTTTTAATTATGGAATTCCCCTGAATGAGGCCAGTGACCTCTGTAGAGGAGCCTCTTGTTTTAGGCAGCTTTAGGCAAAAACTTCTTCTACCTCTGCTGCTGACTTCTACAGATGATATTTCAAAAGACACTGGAGGTATCACAGATAATTGCCTTTGATAATTTCATGGCCCCCAAATTGGTCCAATTTCATTATTGTATATTATTTGAAGAATATATACCTTGGTTCCCTGTCTTGAATCTACTTCCAACCAATTTTATTTAATAATTCTGAGCACAGGCATTTTGCCTATCAAGTGGGCCAGTGTCATGAATAATTGTGGAAAGGGTCTTTGACTTATTTCCCCTCATTTTTTTCCTTCTCCCAAACTAGAGAATACCTTTGGCTGAAATCCTCATAGCCACTTTAAAAATTGCTGCTGAATTGTAATTTGTAAGGTGAGAGGAGGGGAAAACCAAAATAGTTTTCAGCCAATTTAGGCTAGGGAACTACTGTAAATTCACAAGTTCCATCTCCATGGTGATCACTTGTTTAGAACTATGCAAGGCACTCTCACTACATTGGAAAAGCCTATGTGTTTTGAACTATTCTGCTTGCAAACATTTTCACGCATTAAGGCAGTGCATGGTGAATGGGAGCTGCTAAACCCCATGTCACATGAAAATTAATTTGGGATTAATTTTTTTTAAAAAGTTGTGCTAACAGCCATGTAGGTGATCCTAAGGGGAGAAAACAGCTGCTTTAAAAAGCTGTAGACAGATGCTACACTTCTGCCTTCACATGATGTGAAACATTTTTAAAAAATTGAATCTCCAGCATTGCTTAATACTTAATATTTAACTGATCAGTTGAATAAATCAGATCAAAAGTTGTGCCTAAGTTTTCTATTTTTCAAAAATTATACAAATACTTAAAAAATGTACAGATGGCAAGCAATATCAAAGGAAAGGAACTCTTTGTGGTAGTGAATTTATGGATATGTTTTTATTAGCAGAATAATACATATCTTCTCAAAAAAAAATCGTTTTGAGTTATCAAGATTTTGTCCCAGGTAATGTGTAGGATTGCCGTGGAAAGATTCTACTATTCGTGAATTGCTTGATCTTCTTTCTTTATATGAAGAGTAGCTAATGAGGTGCCAGGATATGTTGTACTAAAATATGGGATGTTAATCATGTAAACAATTAAATACATTACACTGATAACTATTGTAGAATATTCAGATTGGATTTTCCTGGACTTTACCAGAAAGTGACTTTATTGGAAATTCTCCTGTATTCATGAACATTACTTTATAAGATTCTGCTTTGATTTCTTTTTTAAAGGATGTTTGCTTTTCAGCATCCTAGTCCCATTTGGCATAAGCCCAGTAGAGCAGGATTTTTTTCCCGCTCATATGACAAAGCAACAGCTTTGAGAAAAGGTTATTGTTATGAGACGGGTTTTCTTGGGGCCAGAGAGTGGATTGACGCACAAAGATATTTGACCTTTAGCAGTCTATAAGGATTTTATCAACCAAATAGCCATCTTCTTTCAGAATCCTCTCTTAAAACCTATTGTATAAAAAGAATACATTTTTGTTAATAATATACTAATATTAATATACTATATTTTTATACTATATTTAATATACTATATGAAATTATGGGAAACGCCAGATATTTGCTGAACCCCAATTTCTAGAATGCTTCACCATCGGCTATTTTGCCTATGGTTATTGAGAATGATACTTCGGTAAAATCTAAGTCACCAGACCCTTTGAAAGCCCATCCATACATTCTGTTTATTCTGACATTAAGAAACTCCAGTGACCAAAAATTTTCCTGTTCATTTTGTGATAGATTATTTCAAACAATATAATCGATAATCATTAGTTACAAATATATATATATATATATATATATATATATATATATATATATATATAGTTTAAATATTATATAGATTTATGAAAACATAGAAAAAATGTTTAAAAACAACTAAAATGAACTAAAAGAAAAAGTGGCCTATAACACTAGAGGAAAATTAAGGATGAAAAACTTAAAGAAAAAGGGAGAAAGCGAAAACTGATAATAACACAAAATAATGAACATTTTAAGATTTTTACTTTTCTTCAGTGTCAAAATAGAAATAATTACAATTCGATTTTTAAACATTATCTTAAATTCAGACTCTGTAGCTTTATATTATCCAATTTTTTGAAACAGCCATTTCAAAAGTCCAAAGTCAACAAATTTCATTAAGATAGATCCATCTTTTAAGGAGCATGTGGTCACTATCTTTGCAAGGCATGATAAGCTGAAACTCTTCATAAATCAAACACTTCCAATTTTTTGGAATATAATCTAACAATTTATTAACCTCTATAGGCCTTATTTTCTGTCAAAGAACCTGAGTAAGAATAATATTTAACCAATTAGGAAACACCAATGGAAAATTGCAGGAGATACAAAGTTAAAGCTATTTGCAAAGAAAGACATTCTTTTCCTTTGAGTAGCCTAATAATATTTCCCTAAATATATTTTATTGTATCAAGCAAGTGCCCCATTAACTTTTTCTTGAGCACATGAATGTACAGTCCTCACCAACTCTTCGAGCACCAGGAAGAAGGTTTCCTGCTCCACTTCAAAAATGGCCTTTTTCAGCTTCAGACTTCAATTTGAGGTCAATCATTTCTGTATGAGTTTTGGGGTAGGGGCTTGTTCTGATGATTCTGCCCATCTAGGACTCTTCCCTTTATCCCATTCCCGATTTTCTGTTGAAATTGATGCTGGAGCAGTAGAGTCAAAGTCTTCCCACTGCAATAAAAGGCTCTCTGCCCCATTTCCTTTGCCAACCCATGGATAATATGAGAATATGAGAAGGGGAGATAGAGTAGAAGCAAATCATTTTAGTGTTGATTCATCAAACCTCCTCCCATCTGCTTTCACTTGCTTGCTTCCCTTCCTGCATGAATAGAGAAGTGGGAGAAAGGGCTTCCCAGCAACCACCTGCACTAAGACCAAAGAAGCTTTACTATAAACGTAAGGCTGCAAACCCATGAACTACAGATCTCTGTGATTGAGGTCCTGCTGTGCCAAACTGCAGGGGATGTAAATACATAAGTAATTGTCAGATCCAGCCATCATCCCACAAATACAGCTCCAGGCTAGTTAGTTTCTTTTTAATGGTTTTCCTGTGCCTGCTAGTTGATGATGTTTGTCTTTCCTTAATTATCAGGATGAGAATTTGTGACCTTCGCAGTGCAGCTGAACTACAGACCACCACAATCCCAGGCAGCATAGCCTAAGTGAAAGATGTTGACAGATGGAATCCAACAATTTCTGGAAAGACAAAAGGGTTCCAACTTTTGAACCCTATCCATCCATCTATGCAGGTGGGTTATGCTAGCAGAAGAATTTAGTAATTCATTTTTTGGGGGAAAAAACAGCAAGACTTGTTTTGATGTTGAATGGCATAATGGCTGAAAGTGGGATGGGAGGAAGGAGGGCTGCAGGGAAGTTGTTATTATGTTTAAGAATTACTGCTGCTTAAAGATGACTGCTATTTAAAGATGAATATTGCCTGCCAACATTCATCTCGTTTGACTTTATTCATCTTCACTCTATTACGAATCCCTTAGAGACTTCAGCACCTACACTGAGGCTGGCATAATTATCTTGTTCAAATTGCAGCACAGAAATTCATTCTATCTAGCTAAAATTTTGCAAATAAATAGTCTCTTCTAGGAGAGGAAGGTAACTTATGAACCAATGTGGTACGCATCATTGAAGCTGATGTAGTTACCAACTTCTGCAATACCTAGGAACAAGACGTTTCTTTGCATTGGCGTACTATTAAAGGCAGAAACGAACAGAGCCTTACCCAAAGAAGGGGATAGAAATCTCTGCTCAAACATGTCTTCTCTTATTTTATTTTTTTGTAAAAATCACCTGTGAAGTAGGGCAGCTATCTGAATCAGCTCCATGGGGTCCAGGAACACACACACACACACACACACACACACACACACACACACACACAGAGAGAGAGAGAGAGAGAGAGAGAGAGAGAGAGAGAGAGAGAGAGAGTGTAATATAAAAGAAAAAGAGCTCCTGCTTTAATCTTCTCCCAGTTTAGTAACAAAGCCTCTCGTATATAATGTCTTCTAAAGTACCCCTGTGTTTTTGTTCCCTTATACCATAAAAAAGCATGCCATCCCAACAGCAAGTATGTCCTTCTAAGGTCAATAATCTAGTGTTTTTTAGCATTATCCATTCTTTAATCCACATCAAACTGTCGCTTGGTAATAAATGACACTTTAATGCTGCAGTATGGAAGAGTCCCTACAGAAGTATTCTGCAAAGGAATTGATATCCTTCCAATGTGCCATGTTATGAGAAATTATAGAGCAAATATAATATCTGCAATTCAGTTGGAGAAGTGGATGGAGGGGGAAAACCTACATCCAATGAATTGCATTTGGACTGATTAATGAGTGAATATTTAGAGGATTGTACTAAAGGTCTGATTCAATGCAACTAGACAGGGCAAATATGCAAGAACATAGATATTTTCAATGCTATCTCGTCAATATTTATTTGGTGGTTATTTATTAGCCTTTAGACCAGAGTTTCCCAACCTTGGCACCTTTAAGATACATAGACTTCAGCTCTCAGAATTCCCCAAATAGCAAAGCTAGCATGGCTGGCTGGGGAATTCTGAGAGTTGAAATGCATGTATCTTTTGATCTTAGGCTAAACTGATTCCTAACTTCCTGGGTAAAGCATTTGATCTTAATTGAAATCTGTTTTATGCTTTTTACCTAAAACTCATTGTGTGGTTTTTATTTTTCGTATGTTGTTTATTTATGTAGCTTTTTCTTACTGGAAATTGGAAGTGTGATTGGGGGCAGAAAGGAAATGTTTTTTAATAAGCACAACATGCAGTAAATAGACAGAAGTGGGGAATGTGGTGGTCTTAATGCTGCTGATTTTTTAAAAGAGGGAGCACAAATAAAAACAGCTCTTTTTTTCCTTTTGGCTAAATTGATTCTTTACAGACTGCCTCTCTAGACCAAGATTTCTGAACCTGGAATTTTAGTTTGAACTCCAAGTTCATCTTCCCCATCCAGCAGGCTTATGCTGATTTAATCCTATTTTCCCCATCTTTGTGCTCTTCACAGAAATGATGTGAATTGTGAAAGGCATGGCCTTTATTAATTACATTTTGTACTGTATAATATAAAAACAGAGTAAGATAAAAATATCGTACAGGATCTGTTTTTAAAAACCAAAGAAGAATAGCATAACATGATTTTCTGTGTGCATGCCTTTGAGTCAGTTGTTGACTTCTGACAAATGCCTGGACAAGTCCTTGCAGTTTACCTGGCAAGATTTTGATATGGTTTGCCATTGCCTCTTTTTTTGGGCTGAAAGAGAGTGACTGGCACAAAGTCACACCCATCTGACTTTGTGCCTAAAGTGAGACTAGAGTTCACGTTCCCCCAATTTCTAGGCTGGTGCCTTAACAAGTACACCCCCCCCAAGAAAAAGGGGGGGGGGAGGTGTAAAATGCAGTGGTGACATTCATTGTCCAAATATTCTCCAGAATAGTTCAGTATTACATTATAAAGACAGAATTTGAGATTTCTTGTCTACCATTCTGAAGATGAGTTTCTAATATAGTTTCTGATTTGAATTTCAGTTGAAGAACTTTTGGACATTTTACATAAACAAGAGGAAATGTTGGGGTTGAAGATATAAATTTGCTCTCTTTTCTTAAAATTTATGATGCTTTTGTGTAGAACTTGAAAGAACCCTCCCTCTGTCCCCTGGAATAAAGGTATTTATTCATGGTAATGATAATAAAAATCTGTGGTTAGCTTCACTGATTTTTCAATTTTTCAGTTATTGTATATCTAAGATTTTCTACTGTGAGAACATCTTTTAGCAATGCATAATTTCTTGCAAATGGTGTAAACGTCTAACCATTAATTAAAAACCCGACAACTCTAAAATACTAATAATTATTTACATTTCAGTATATTGATTATATTTATTACCTGCCTTTCCCTAGTGATCTATAGTATCCTACAGTTGCAACCATTTCACTTTGCAAAGACCTGTAGATTAATTTGAGCAAAAGTGTAACTAGCCTTAGATTACCCACAGATAAAATAAGCACATTGCCACAAGCAGAAGTTTGCATGCACCAAAAAAAGACAGGTTTACCTAAAATGCATATTGTAATTGATAGATAAAAGCCAGTTTGGTCTAGTGGTTAAGTCATCAGTTTAAAAACCACAAGACTGAGTTCTACTCCTGTCTTATGCAAAAAACAAAAACAAAAAAAAAACAACAGTTGAATTACCCTGAGCCAGCCAAGTCACTTTCTCTCACCCTTGGGAAGCAGACAGTGGCAAAACGCTACAGAAAAGATTACCAAGAAAACTGCAGAGATTAGCCCAAACAATCACCAGGAGTCAATACTGATTCAAAGGCACCAAAAAGAAAAGAAAAAGATAGGTATTAATGCTAAATTTTACAGTATTTGATTGACAATACTGGAAAAGACTTTGAACAGGTGGCTTAATGTATTTTTATTCCTCTTCAACCCTGTTTACTATTGAGTTAAACTGGATTTGAAACCCCCTCAAATAAAGGAATTCTCATAGTCCCCTTCTTACCCACGGATTTCTCAGCTGTTAGTTTAAAGCTCTAAACATGATACCTCATTGATATTTAAAGAAAACTTGTAATTTCCTCTGTGTTCCAAGATTTCATTTGTAAGTAGGTTCTGTAATTTAAAATTTTCTAATGATTTTTTCCCCTCATTTGCCAACTCTTACAGCTAATCCACTCTGTTGAACATCTCCTCCCATCGCCTATAGAAGAGCGAAGGATTTCCAAACTCTTCTTCTTTCTCTCCCAACCCTTGTACCAGTGTCAGTCGTAACACCTACTGGTACAGAGGATGGAAGGGGAAGTGGTTCAGGGGTTTTACATCCGAATTTATATATTTTCCAGCTTGGATGATCTCTCTAAACCTAAGAAAAAGACCGGCGGCGGCAGCTTCCTACCCTTCACCCAGTACTGAAAGCAGATAGCATGAAACCATCCTGGGAAAAAAACTGTTTCTATTACACTTTTGGCTTTCAACTGCTTGGCAAAATCTCTCTTGTTTGAAATACTATCAACTAGCAAAATAAACGTTTCTCTGTCTGAAGCAAGTGGAATTTAAAGATGTTGATTATTTGCAGAGATTCACTTGTGATTTGGGCTGGAGTGTTTGAAAGGGTTTAACTATAGATATGGGGTATGAGTAAGAATAGGAAGCATAAGAAAGGCTGGGTTTTACTCATAGCACTAAACTGGACTTATTTCAAAATAATTTACGGAACAAAACCATAAATTCCTGGGTTCTTAGAACATGCTAAGCCATAACCAAACAAATTACTGTTGTTTGGTGGAAGAGCACACAAAAGAGTTTAGGTGCTTCATCCACATAACAGATAGACGAGAGCTCTGCCAATATTGGCTACGTGTTTTTCAGAATCGGATGGAAACGAGGGATCACAGCTCCACAGAGCTTTTATGCAGCAGAGCAGAGGGCAAATATTCACAGATCGGATTAAGCTAGAATGTGATTTGCTTACTTTCAGTTTAGTTTGGAACATAAAGAGACCAAATGTATGGTTTGTTTAGGACAGAAACCGGTGCTTGAAAACTGTATGATTGTGACAGCAAGTGTGCAAGTGAAAATGGATGGTTTGCTTGTGATTTGAAGATACTGTAGGTCAAGGTGATTGGCATGCATCGCAAAAACTATCATGCATAGTTTTCCCCAACATAATCTTCTGATGAGTTACGATTACAACTCCCAAAATTCCTAGCCAGATGATCATGGGGATGACAACCTAATCAATGATAGCCAAAGGGCTCAGAAGAATGAAAATAAGCGATTCTATACTTTATTTCAAACATTCTATTACACTTTAAGAAAAAACAATTTTATAATCCCAGTTTCAAAACATTAAAAGATTGTAACAATTTACAATAAAAATTCTAGATAGAGAAATTACGACTCCATAATCCAATCGTTACAACTCCAGATTTGGTGACACTGGTTAGAATGCGATATTGCAGGCTGACTCTTCCCACAGCCAGGAGTTCAATCCTGACCAGCTCAAGGTTGACTTGGCCTTCCATCCTTCCGAGGCTGATAAAATGAGGACCCAGATTGTTGGGAGCAAAATGGTGATTCTGTAAACCTCTAGGAAAATGCTGTAAAGCACTGTGAAGCGGTACATAAGCCTTAAGTGCTGTTCTATAACCCAAAGCTTCATCAGCAAACCAAAAGTGCACATTTAACCAAAAAGTTACAGCAGTGTTAACAAGCAGATTGCTCCTAAAATCTAATTTAATTAGTTTTGTTAAAGCATACATGCCTCAAGACAGTTCTCGCCCTTGGTGCTTAATCTGCTGTCTACTCAGCAACTTTAGTCTTCAGTGAATGGCCGAATTGCCCAGATCAATTCCTTCTCCCCTTGGTTGAATTCACTCATAGTACTAAGTCAAAATGAAATTAACTCCATACTGACTAATAGGATACAGGGCTTATATAAACCCAATTCCTATTCCTATTTAAAATCATACTGTCTGCCCTACTTAGTCCAATTGTGCCAGGATAGCTTATAAGTAAAGCTGTGAAGAGCATACTCTATATGTGGTGGGAAATTTTTAACTCTTCCAACCTTTAAACATGGCCCTGGAAGCAGATCTGAAGTTGAATATCTTGGAAGGGGATAAGTAAATGACCAGAATACTCCTTTTGCAAATATATTCCAGTATTGCCAAAATCACTTCTTTCTCTAGTAATATGTTGCCACCTGGAGGCCTTTTCTAGAAATTGCACTGTAGTTTCTATTTAAGTTTCTATCTAGTTTCTATTTAAGTAAACACAATTGAATTAAATAGGGTTTACTTTAAATCTGTATTAGATCCTGGCTTCAGACTGACTGATAAAAATAATTACAGTACTTGTTTCTCAAAATAATCCTTTGTTGTTTCTTTAGTGATTGCTTAGCAAAATTCCTCAGTTTTCTATTAGTAGGTAGCCAGCCCTATTATTAGAAAGAAAGAAGGGCAAGTGGCAAATGTCAAGATGGTTTTTTCTTAAGGTATGACGTACTCAGTGCAGGATGCAGCTGAATATTATGCCATTGTAAAGAAGTGTTCCTTACACTTCCAAACCCTTATTTTATCTTGGCAACAAATCAGAAATGGGAAAGAGGAAACTGGAATGAGGCCAGTGCCTCTGTTGGTACTCGTAACCTGGGTTCTTCTGCTGCCTGTTCTCCAATTCTAGGTAATAATTAATTCTTGAGATTGGAAGCCTGGCCCCAAAGGAGATGTTTTCTAATGTGTCTCTTTCTTCCTTTTCTTTCCCTGCTTCTCCTGCTTCCAATGGCAAGAAAACTGGGTAAAAGACCTATTCCCTTTCTATTCCCATCACTTTCTTGCCATGGGAACAGATGGGGAGAAAATGGGTACGTTTAGTTCTCCCAAACCCATAAATGGAACAAACTCATTCCATACGATTGGAAAACAATGAAGGATTGGCAAAAAAAAAAAAGGGGGGGTGACCATCTGACTATCCTGCCACTCAAAAGCAAATGACCTTGAAAATTAATGGTGAGAGATCAGAGTAGTATCCTTGCAGTAGCCTCACATGACAGGGGCTTCCCTGGCCCCAAATTTCCCTTCAAAGGATTTGCTGCCAACTGATCAAGCCACATGGCTTCCATTGGCAAAAAATGAAAGATTCAACTCTTGAAGTAAAGCAAGAAAAAGATAATGGAGGATGCCATATTCAATGGGCTGGGAGTAGGTACAGGGCATGACTGTGCATTCATGTCTTCAACAAATAGCTAGCAGTCCATTTTCTCACCTAGTCAAGCTTGTTGTGCAAGTGAGTCACAGACGGAAGTTTCTCCCTTGGCAAGACCTGGTGGCCGGATCTGGTGAAGTTGGACAAGTAGAATCAGTGAACATTTCTCTGGAATAAAAGTGGCTGTGTTGGCTTTCCCAAGGAGTTGTAGGAAAGTACAGCAGTTTTTGGAGAGCCAAGCAGACCCACTACCTCTATGCATACACCAACACCACAGTAAATAACTTCTACTTTGGTCCTGTCCCTAATATATTCACTACAGCATTAGACATGCCTCCCATTGCCCTTAGAGAATGATGGGAAAATAAAAGAAAATAAACAGGAAACAGCCACTTTTCTAGAACAATAATTCTCAAATTCAGCAACTTTAAAATATGTGACCTCCAATTCCCAGAATTCCCAGCCAGTAGTAATACACTTATCCTGGTTTCCAAATTAATCCTTTTTCTGGATTCATAAACTACCACAAACTTACTAATTGGCTGGTTCCATGCAATATCTTGAACCAACAATAATAGTAACAACCTATTTAGGTTTAATGTCTATAAAGCTTAGTATCGTGCACAAACACAGTCACCAAATCTTTAACTGGCCTGGTTTAATATATGGTGTGAACAAAACAAAATGAATAATATTAACCCATATAGATCAATTAAATAAATCATTCCAGAGTTCTTCCTCAAGGCACAAATGACCAGGTTCAAATTATCCCACTTTGGATTTATTATGTGAGGACCCATCTCTGGAAAAGGCATTAATTCTAGGAAAAGCGGAAAGAAAAAAGGACAACCTTTAACAAGATGGATGAAGTCAGTTATAGTGATGATGGGTGCACCAGTGGAAGATCTGAAGGAGGACCTTCAAGCTAGAAACAGATTGTCATGTATCTCTGGTCTCTAAGAGGGTTGGGCTCTCCTGCTCCCAGTATTCCTCACCTGGACTGTCTTAGCCAGGGCTACAGGGAGTTGCAGTTCAACAATATTTGAACATCCTCAATAAGAACCAGAAAGGTTTATAGTAAAGACACAATTCCAGTGTCCAAAACATTCATTTATAATCCCAGTAGTGGCCTCATTCAAACAACCTGTCATGTTTTTGGGAGGTTAAGTTGTGTGAGGATATCTGCATAATGCTTTGTGCAAATCCAGGGCTTGAGTTAATCAGGTTAAGTGTGTTGGCCACTAGGAGGCAACCATTTGTAGGTACAGTATGTTACAATTTTGAAGAACCTAATTAAAGTTAATTAAAGTTCTTGTAATCTCTCAGAGTAATCTCAAAAGCTGAAGATAAACTATCTGAATGTTTAGTACTTATTACTGGTCATTATGTAGACAAGTCCATATTGTTTTCTTGCCCACAATATGCCATGGTCTGTCATGGTCTCATTCAGGGACTGTCTTTTTATTCCTTATCTATCTACATTCCTGAGATTTTTCTATTGGTCTCCCCTCTAATTTTTCAAGACCAGCCACCAAAGTCAGCCAAAGCCTGCTATCAACTTCCTTCCTTCTTCACACCTGTTTACTTGGATGACAAAGAGAAATGTATTTTTAAATTCATTTTAAAAATGTACCAAGTGGCATTAAAAAAAAATTATTAGATTTATAATCCACCTGTATTTTGCCAAGCTCAAGAGGTTCTTCCTCCTGTGTTCCACACAGCAACAATCCTGTATGGGGGATTGAGCTGAGAGTCAATGATTGGCACAAATCAAGTGGCTTTCATCCCTAAAAAAGGACTAGAACCTGTAAGGCCATTAATTCACAACTTTAACCATTACATCAAAACTGTCCCCCCCCTCCTTTTCTCTCTGGTATGAGAGAGAAAGGAAAATCAAGTAAAATATGAATAAAGTTAAGAGATGACATATAGGGGGCCATTTAGAAAACATCTTGTGTTTTCCCAAAACATTTTTCATAATCTTGACTATGGAATGACTTGTTTGGGGGCATATTTTAGTTTTAATTTGGCCCCTTATGAAAATCTAGCTGTTCACCCCAAATAATTAGGTTTCAGCCCACTGTTGATTGGCCTTGACTCCCTACTGTGGGACTTTTGTTGTATATTTACAGACCATTTTCCATTGTAAGATCCATCAACGTAAGGTTAGTTATAAATATTTTAAATAAATAAAATAATATAGAGTTTATACAAAAATAATTTTCCAGCAGCCTTTCTCGGAACTGAGAACAATTCCTTCAAAGGCCAGTCCTATAACCATGGGGCTTTCCAGGCGAAGCAAAGAAGGACTGGGTGAATGGGATTGGATATCCTTC